GTAACAAAAAAAAAAAAAAAAAATAAAAAAATAAAAAATAAAAAAAACCCGGAACATTTTTTATTTCTCCTTTTTTTTTTCTTTTTTTTTTTTGAAACATTTTTTCTTCTCAAACTTGTTACTATTTCTATAAAAAGATAATTGTTGCGCTATAAACTATGACAATAACAACGCAAACTTTTCTATGTGCTATTTTATTTTATTTATTTATTTTCTTTTTTGTTTTTTAATTTTTAATTAAAAGACAATTTAGAGTTTGATACTCACAGTAGTACATCAGTGGTATTCATTCGCTTCATTTCCTGCGCACGTAACAATTCAAGTGAAAATTACTTAAAAACTTTACTTTTTCAATGAATTTATAATTGTCGCTAATGCAAATATTGTCATAACCGCAATTATAAATATACAATATGTATACTCACTCGTCTAAGTCGTAACGTGTTTGTGAAAGTGGTTTAACTGCACACCATGCAGGAATATTAATAATTTTGACGCGTTTTTTGTTTCCTTAAAAACTGAATAGACATAAATTAACAACAGAAACAACCGACTATATATACACATACATATAAAGAAAACAAGTAAGAAAGTTGTATATATCTTGGAACAATTCTTGTCCTCCTCTTGTGTGTCTCATCCTTTTTGGGTTATTCTTGTGCTAGATCGATTTTGTGCTACTATCTATCAAATATAAATTCTATGCAACTAATAAATTGCATGCGATCTATTTGAATTGATAACGCTTTCAAAATATTTCTCGCATCGTCTCATCCTTATTGGTGAGAAAGAGATCGTCATATCAAGTGCGTTTTCGTCTTTATTAAATTTCTCATTTAATTTTTTTGATTTTTAAAAAATTTTATAAAACATTTAAACAATATAAGCCCAATATATTATAAAATTATAAAATAAATCAATTTTAATAAATATATCGATCATAGTATGGACAGCTAGATTAAAGTACGAAGCTAAACTGAATATATATATATATATATATATATATGCTAACTGAATATCTTATGATGCAATTTTGTTTTTTCCTTTTTGTTCATCCTAGTTGGATAATATTTCACTAAACAACAACGAAGACGAAGGGAGAAAGAATAAAATGAATACCCTTTTAATTCATTCAATTATTTATTTCGTTTTGAAATATCGATCACATTGACGGATGAGTGGAAAAGGAAATTTAAATGTTATAAGCGATAAAATTTCGCGGAAATTTCGCTTCAATTGTAAATAAACGCATTTGTTAGCCTTCTCTAAAGATTTGTTACGTAATCATAAATTGGACAAATCTTTGCATATTAATCGGCAAAGTGCAGAATAAACTTTTTTACAAAAAACAAAAATATTAGTTTCTTTTGGAAAGACAAGCGCTTTCGTCGGTCCCTACTCGATCACAAGTGCCTAAAAGTCTTAATAAATTATAATTTTAACACAACCTTTTCAATACTTACTTAATGAGGTAGAGGTCGAAATAAGTTCTTAAAAAATTTGTTTATTTAGTTAATAGCTGCTGTGAGTCTTCTACCATATGCGGGCAAAGAAGTCATTACGTGAAAGAAGTTTTTTCTCATATTGGGGATTTTTTTTCGTTATCTTTACCTACACGTGCAAACACCGTCGCGGTCAGAGAGTCGCGGAAGAGAGAAGGGGAAATTCGTAAAGTGCAAAGCGTAAAACGACAAAAATCGAGGAAAAAGAATGAGGAAGAATATTTGAATATCGAAGGGTATTTCTATGGTCCTAAGATAGCAGATTAGCATCACAAAATAATAAAAAATTTATTGTAATAAAAAACATCCCTATAATTATATATCAAAGTGGCAAACGAAACAATTCTTACAATATCCATTTGTTTCGATCGAAGTTCAGTGACAGTTCTCTAGAGCATCACATTTTGGCGATTTTCGAGAAGTTCATTGAAATATTTTTTATTAATAATAAAAAATTTTTTTCACCCAAAATTGAATAATTTGAAAATCCCCACGTGTTGCTCCAACTTGAATAAAATAATATTTTTCCTTTAATACTCACAGCTGTATGCTGATTTTGTATTTCTCCATAGTGTTTGCAATACCCAAAAGACCTTCAAAGACCATGAAAAGTAATTCTGAGTTCAGTGTCTGTGTGGTATGTGTTGTTGTCACTCTCCTCTTCGCAAAAATGAAGATATCTGGTACAACCATTGCAAGTTTCTGCAGGCAACTCCGTGCGAAAGTTACAAGTAATTAAATTTGATTTTTTCACTTTTTTTTTAAGTTTTATGCTTATATATCATAAGGCAAACAATGTTTGCACTCCTCCTGAAATGAAGATATACTATCGCCCTAAAAATGGGTTAATTCTAAAATGAATACGGTAGACATCGCGATTACTTTTTTCCTAAAATTACCAGCGATATGGATATCAATTAAAAGAACTTGAAGAGTAGAATGCGAAAAGCCGAAGTGGTGGGTATGCAAGATTCGGCCTCCGTCGAATATAATTTTCGTGCTTGTTTAGATTCAAATTTACATGAACATCGTGTGAGAGCTTAAGTTGAAAATGTCTCATGGGAATAGCGCTCCGATCTTGAGGTTTTTTAATATTTTCAGAAAATAATTTCTTTTTGTTACTAAATATTTGATTGGGTATTAAATAATATATCATAAATAACTTTCGTGAATATTATTATTTTTACTTTTAAGCTGTTTTAGTCGCTACGCTCCTTAAGCAACATGAAGGAAATTATTTCTGTTTCAGTCGCTCTGTGTCTTTCAACCAAACAAATTGTAAAGTTGCACTCATCTCTTGCGATAATTTTTTCATTTTGATATTTTTTACTCAGCTTCTTAGCGTTCGCGACACTAAGCTGAAATATGACGAAACGAACGAAATTGTCTATCAACATTCTGAAATTAAATAAGTCAATTTTTAAGTTTCATATCGAGCGTCGTGTTATGTAAAGAGAGTTGTTAACCTTTTACATTTTCAATGCAGAGCTTATGATAAATGCCGAAGAAATATATATGTTATGTTAAAGAGAATTGGACCCGTAAATAGTTCGCTCGACCCAGAGAAATACAATGATGATGATGATGATGATGATGAAGTTGATGATGATAGGTAGAATGAAAGGATAGGAAATAATGCAGTGAAAAAGAGAAGGAAGCTGCATTATACACTAACATAACGTCAAGCTTTCACTATAAAAATTATTGGGACGGTTGACTATTCTCGGATTTTTTTTCCTTTAAATCCATTTATGCAAACGTAACGACTCTTAATAAAAGAATCGATTATATGCTCATATTAATTTCCTTTATTTTAATGCGCTATTTGGCCTTCATATTGACCGATATTGCGCTGAAACTATGAAACTCTTGCCAAAGCTAGAAAAGAAATTGAATTTAACGAGTATATCTTTCAAACAATTTTTGAAATTTAAGTATGTAGTAAGTAGTTTAAGGAAAAATATATACGATTTTGTTGTATTATCACTGAATTATTTTCTAATTTTCCGATCTTTACGATATCGAATGTTGGCTCCACACTTTTGCAAAAACATTTATTTTAAACTCTGAACGATTCGCTCGGGGGGCAATATTTTGAAATGTTTCGTTGTCACTAACACTGTCAATGACATTCAGATAGTCAGTCCGTCAATCCGTGAGGGTGATTAAATAGTTTAAAAATTCTAAGTTGAATAGAACTGCAACTGCAGTAGACAATCTTCGATATGTTTACATATATATATATATAAATATATATGTACATGTATGATAATTATAGATGAAACACTTGACAACGTGTACAAAATATTTAGTACGATACGTCATTCTATCGTAAAAAGTAAAAAATAAGCTAATAATTTTTCATTGGTATCTATATACGTTACGGTTAACCAATCCTTAAAAACTTGTATAGGATTTGTTCTTTGTTTTATTTGTTCTTGCTGCAATTTATAGAAAGAAAAGTTGTTTTATGAACCACTGTTTAACCTTTTCAGTGTAAAATAATTTATGCAAAAGCTGCTAAGCAAATAAATAAAAAAATTTTTAAACAAATCATTGGACTTACACGCAGCACCAATATAACAACAAAGAACAGCAAACAGTTAAAGAAACCTTATAACACGATATCAAATACACATATATATGCGCACATGCATTTATGTGTACATAAATACACGTTATTTTTATAAAGTAAACCAATAAGTTGAAAACAAAAAAAAAAAAAAAAAAAAAAGGAAAAATTGGTGACAGTTTTTTTATAAGAAAAAATAAATAAAAACAAAAAAAAAAATAAAAATAAAAAAACAACTTGAATGTGTGCAAAAAAAAAAAAAAAAAAAAGTGGTATTCGAAGTAAAGATAAAAATACAAGACTCAGACAAGGAAGTGTGGTTGATACAGTCATCGATATCAACCACCAGGAATTGTGGTACGACAACTTAAGCCGAGTGAGTACACGTCAAAAAAGGAAAACAAAAAAACAAAACAAAAAAAAAGCCAACTATTTGGATATGAGAGGAAACTCTAACAGTAAAAGCAGGAAAAACATTTGCAAATTCCTTTAAGGTAAGCCAAGCACCAAAAATAAAAAACAAAAAACAAAAAAAAAAAAGAAGAAAATCAAAAAAGTTCCTTTAATGCGTATAAATGTATAATTGAATATTTCTATTGGTTTTTTTGGTCATTGGTAAAAACAGGTTGTACTACGAAATCTACGAAACTACGATCACGATATTTATTTCATCTTCTTCTTCTTCTTCTTCTTCTTACATAAATTCCTTTCATTATACATTTCATTAATAATTTGTAAGTTTAAGATGGTATGCATCATTTAGCTAAGCATCTGTTACCATATATTTATGAATCACTGATGATGTGATGATCAGCATGTTGCTATTTATGTACTTGCATATATATACACACACATGCATATAGTACAGATGTGATATGAAGTGAAATTCTGAGCAATTAAGTGAAATAATAATGATTTTTTTAATC